TTTTGGCATGGTATTTAAATAAGAAATACATATATATATATATATATATATATATATATATATTTAAATAAGAAAATATATGTATTTAAGACATAATTTAAAATAAGAAAATATATATTTAAATAAGAAATATATTTTAAAATAAAATATATTTAAATACGATACATATTTTTAAATAAGAAAAATATACATTTAAATAAGATACATATTTTAAATAAGATATATATTTTTAAATAAGAAAAATATCTATTTAAATAAGAAATATATATTTTAAATATGAAAAATATATATTTAAATTATATATATATATATATATATATATATATATATATATATAATTGTACAGTTTCCAGGGATTTATGCTTGATAAAAGATGTTAGAGAATATTAGGATTTTCTGGATAATTTATTCTTTTATATAAACTTTGAACTCTGGAAAAGTATACCCTTTTCAGGGATCGAACTCATGACCTTGTGCTTGGCAGGCAGGCTCTTATGCCGCTGAGCTAAATTCCCTGCCTGTGTAAAAGTATACTCTTAACCTCATGGTAACTCTCTGGAAACATTTTCATGAAAAAGTATTCATTTCATCAAGAAAGTTGTGAAAAATCCATGTAGAATTTGGGAGTCACCAAAGGCAATGCTTCAGTATCAAAGCGAGAGTTTTACAGTTTCAGGACAGTGTTATGCCATAGTATTGGGCACCATAAAAAAGAGGAAATGACTTAAATCTCTGAAAACAACTTGGGTCCCAGGATGAAGGAAATAGTCTAGCTAATGTAAGTGACAATCTTACGCAGTCAGGCAGCCCAATGCCATTCCCTGGAATCTCTAGATTTTCATTTGTATCTTGTCAGTGAAATCATGGTGCTGATAAAGGCAGAGGCCTGAGAAGTAGGGGAAGCCAGCTATCCCCATCTGCAGCTGCTGATGGATGGAGTAAGATAAAGTTCCAGACTGTGTGATGTAAATGTAACCAGATTCCTCATAGTTCTGGATGGTTAGAAACCTAAGATGGAGCTGTGAGCAGGTTCAGTCTGTCCTAAAATGGCATGGACAATGCTTCTGATGTTACTCGATGGTAAGGAAAGCAGGCAAAAAGGGGGTCACACAGCACCCACTGGCGCAGGTGAATGGACCCCTTAACAGGTGATCATTGCCCAAAGACCACACAGCTGGCAACACCACATGACAGGCCAAGTTACAGTTTGCAGGTTGAACCATGGCTCCTTGGCCGCCATGTTTTTGGCCCTGTGCAGAGGCAGCACACTGGGATGGAGACCTTGGAGTGGAACAAAGTTGCTCAGCTCCTGGTGGCAGGGAGGAAAAGGAGAGGAGGAGAAGTTGGGAGCCCATAGCCCCTCCAAGGCCATGCTCCTGATACCTAATTTCCTCCCACCAGACACCCTCCAATAGAGCCATAGGCTGGGGATCAACCCTTCACCACTGCTTTAGGAATATTCCAGATCCAAACTAAGAGAACTGTCACTCACAGGGTATGTTTCCCAAGACCCACCAAGAGATGCCCAAAATTATACAGAACCCTATACATACCATGGTTTTTCTCCATGCACCTCTACCTACAAGAAAGCTTAACTTGTAAACTAGATAGAGCAAGAAAGCACAACAGCTAATAATGTAGAACAATTCTAATGATGTCCTGGAAGAGTAATTTAAAACTAATGAGTTTTTTTTAATTTCTGGAGTTATCTATGAAATATTTTGGGGGTGTGGCTGACTGGGGAAAGAGAGAATGTGAAAAGCAAATGACAGGTATTTCCTATACTTTGAAGCCCCTCGCTCCATAATATTTTCTCTTTGCAGAGATCATGGTTCTAGATCACTGGCAACAGTGTTAGGCCAGAGAGGCTTCACTGAAGACCGGGTTGTTTCCATAGCTATGTGTGCAGGAGCTGAGGGCCATGTAAACCACAGGATAATCCCTTATGGAAGTGGTCACTGCACATTTGCTGCTTAAGGTTTTGAAACCCTACTTGAAGCAAGCCAACCAGCGTTGATATCCAAATGCCATTTGCATTGAAAGAAGTGTGAACTACAGTACCCAGATTCCCCATTCCTCTTACCCAGTGGACAAAACCTCAAATGAATAGTAATTAGGTCTTTGAAGTGCTGAGCATGCTCCATGTAAGAGTGGAGGGGGAGAAGAGAGGGACCATGCCATCTGTTATGGATGAAAAACTGGTGGTCAGTTCAACTCCAGCTGAACTGAATCAGCAAGGTGCTGAGTACAGAGGGCCCACCTGAGGAAAGATGCCAGCATACAAAGCAGACGCAGAGAGGGATTGCATAGCTTTGTGGGTTCTCCTAAGGGTTCTTTGGAGCCATTGGTTCTCCTGGAGGAGTGTCATGCTGGCCTTCCTGCTATGAATTCAGCCATTATTATAGGAGGAGCTTGGAACCTTGTTGCTGAGAATGGCTGTGGTTCACTTTGGTCCTCATGTTGAACATTGCTCTCTGGGGTAAGATGTGTGTTGTTTAATCTCCAGGAGAAGCTTGCCACCCTGGCTTCCTGATATGAACTCAGCTGTTATTATTGGAGGAGCTCAGGACCTCACTGTCACTGAGGATGGCTGTGGTACTTTTCAGGGGAGTCCTGGTCCTTATTCTGAGTGTTGCTTCTTGGCTGCAGTGTAGAACCCTCAGCCTACTAACACAGATCCTGCACGCTGTTGGCACAGACTTTCTAGCTCTCACCGCTGACCTTTGGGTCTTCCCAGTTCTTATATGTAAAACAGACTTGCATGGGTCATTGTCGTGGGCTCTGGACCTCCAGTTGGACTAGTAAGAGGCACCGTCATGGGCTCCAAGTCTTTAACTGGACACATGCAGGACATCGCTGTGGGATCCAGATCCTCAAATGGATTTTCTAGGTCTTTAGTGTTGTGGACAGATTTCCTGCACTTTTTTTTTTTTTTTTTTGGTCTTTTTCGTTTTTATCGGTACCAGGGATCGAACTCACGACTGCCTGCTTCCAAGGCAGGCACTTATGCCGCTGAGCTAAATCCCCAGCCCCTTCTTGCACTTTTTAATATTTAACTCCTTGGGTGGCCATCATAAATATAAATTCTGTGTCCTGGATGTAACTTCCCCCTTGCAACTCCTGACTACAGCATCACCTCAGGAGCCTTCCTGACTCCTACGATGCATGAGCAGACATGGTCACTGGTTCGAGCTCGGACTGCCAAATGCTGCTCTGTGTGCCTGCCTAAGGGAGCATGCCTGGAGAGAACCCAGAAAGCAAGGCAACTGCTCTTTAGGCTACCAAGCCTATACCAAGAGTTCTCCTGAGGACTGCTGTACAATTCCTGTACCACCATGAACCCCAGGAGTTAATACAATCAAATAATGTCTAGAGAAGCAACCAGGCAGACGCAGAAAGAATAAAAAGAGAGCACTGGTTTATCATCAGGGTTCTCTCTCTGAACAAAAATGTAAGGATATGGCTCTGCTTGGGTTAAAACAACACACTCAGACAAGGTTTACCAAGCAGGACAATATACCCGGATGTAGACCCAGATATTGAAAATTGTACCCTGCCTTTTCAGCTCCTTCATGTAAAACAGTTAATGATTAGAAGACACCGTGGAAACACAGATGCTTTGGAAGGAAGATACCAAATAAGACAAGAGCCTGTTTCATGTGGAGTGTCTGTGCTGTAACCCAGGACACAATGGCTCACTTACTATGTACCTTTTGGGTAAGAAAAGAAATCCAATGGGCCACAATTATGTTTTGCATTTGTTACACGATTTTTATAAAGGGAAAATCGTGACTTCCACATAAACATTACACAAATGTGTACTACATGAATGTGTACAAAAGACTTTAATTCAAATAAATCAATATGTGAGGGAAGTTTTAGGATATTACCAGTGGTATGGAGGGGAATGGAAAAAACCAGACAAGAACACAGGTAACCAAGAATGCTGAAGTAAATTTAATAGACAATAGGCAGAACTGATCCTTTCCACCAAACACATGGGCTGTTATGTTTACAGTTGAAAAATAACAACAGAACGCGTCAGAGTCACCTGGAAGGGTACAACAAGGCAAAATGGCATATTTCCCTTTGTCCCCATTTTAAACCCTCCAGGATTTTCTGGTAAATGATAGCCAAGTTTCCAAGGTGGAGTGTGTCTATATAAGCAGCTGATAAATATGTGCTGGCTGATTATGCCCAAAATGTACTTCGATCTCTGTTCAAGTAGCGATTTGAGAAAACAACCTATTTCAACACACAAACAAAAAAGTTTTTAAAAAAAGACCATTCTTAAAAGAGAATTTTGGCTGAGGTAGAAAACGTTATTGGACGTGGATAACACACACATTCCAAGTACAACAACTGATGTAACAGCTCCAGGAAAGTCACTGAGCAAAGGCCAAAGAGAGATTCTCAGGGGACAGAAATTAATTTAAGACTAGTTTGGAGAATCATTTTGTTAGGTTCACCAATATCATGGGTTTCCCTACTTGGGTTTCAAAGTTAAGAGATTACCTTCTCAATTGCAAAACTGTGAAATATATATATATATATATATATATATATATATATACACACACACACACACATATACATACATAAATGCATATACATGCATGTATACATCATTTAGATTCACAAAATGTAACTTCAGAAAATCTAAGATGGAAAACGAACATAAATATAACGTCTACAGTGTCTTGGAGAAGGATATCCCTCACGTACAAATATGCACCCACATTTATGCACATTATGTTGCAGTATACACATGTGTGTGCAAACTGCTTCCCAACTTACAGATGCAGACAGAAAAGCTAGATGTTGGCTGGGGCTCCTCCCTGGGTCTTTTTTTTAGCTGGCCTTGATGATTGAATGGCCCAGGCCACTCGGGAATGCTGGAGTGGGCTACAGAGGGCACTTCTGGACTGCGGCTCCTGCTGCCCACCCTCAGCAGTGTGGGTCGTGAAAGCGAGTTGGGGCAGTACACGGGGGCCCGGCCCTCATTCGAAGGTAGGCAGGCCAAACAACTCGGGCTGCAGGTCCTAGAGGGAATGCAGCACCACGGTGGCCGTGGTGATCAAGTCGAGGCTCAGGTTTTCATCAGGAACCATGACAACCTGCATCCCCGCTGCCAGGGCAGCCTCCACCCCATTGGGAGTGTCTTCAAGATGAGACACTGTGGGAAGAAACAGAAAGCTGAGATGGCCTTGGGTGCAACCCAGCTCCCAGAGGAAGTGTGACTACCATGGTCTGGATGTCCAGGGTCTCCAGAAGGGCACACGTTCAAGGCTCTACCCCCAGGGCTGCCGTGCTCAGAGGCCACACTTTTGGAAGGTGGCTTGGCCACTTTCTCATCACTGAGACACAATACATGACCCTGGGAATGAAAAAAGGAAGTTTATTTTGGCTTGTGGTCTGCAGAAGTTTGGTGCATAGCTAAGTGGCCGAAAGGCGTGGCAGAGGAGAAACTCATGGTCTGGAGACTGAAAGCAGACAGAGATCAATGATGAAGGAAGGAAGGAGCCAGACCCCTCCAGGAAATGCCTCCAGGACCACAGCTCCTCCAAAAGTCCTAGTATGAGCAGGTGAGGCTTTGGGGGGACATCTCCATAAAATCCACAGACTACTGTATCATGAGGGCTCTGGCCTTACCATTGCAGTAATTTAACGAAGGCTTCATGTTTGAATGGACTATAGGAAGGGAAGGGAAAAAGAAAGTGGAACCCAATGGAAGGAAGTGGGTGGAAGGGGCGTAACCCCAGGGGAACCTGTCTTGTCATTGGCTCCTTTTTCTGTTTCTGCTTCCTGGCTGCCTTTCCACCATGATGTTGTCACACAACACAAGCCTAAACATACAATGGAGCCAGCTGACCAGGACTGAAAATTCTAAACTTGTGAGCCTAAATAAACCTTTCCTCTTTTATGGTAATGACTTTCTCAGATATTTGTATTGTATGGTATTTTGTCATGGTGATAGACACCTGTCTAACACAGAATGTTTAGGGTGCTTGTCACCAAGGCATTTGGGACTGTCCCCACTGGGGTGGAAGGGCCTTGTATGCTTCCTGGCTGACCAGCTGTGGTTCTGACCCATTCTTTCCCACTGGGATTTCTCGAGAGGAGACAAATTCTGTGCCTTTTAGAGCCTAACTGTGACACCACACAGCTGTGCCTCATGTTGGTATTTTTGGTATGAAACTACTTTATTTAGATCGTAACAATCTGTTCCATCAATAATTGAACATTCAGAGTGTGAGAGGAAATTGTAAAACAAAATGATCATGCTTCTTAAATGTAAAAACACTTCAGAGCTTCTTATACTTCATGTCCTGTACTTAGAGAATTAAATGGTTTGGTGCTATAGTGAAAAAATTCAGGGCCTTATGTGCTGGTGCTGGACATGAAGGCTAAACAAAACAAAATTCATGAGCACTGGATCAGGGGCAAGTGTACGTACCCTGTGGGAAGACCATGGATGGCAACCTTGACAGAACAGTGCAGGGAGGTTACTGACAAGCAGATCTGTGTAATGCACTCTATACCTCTGGGCTGCTCACACAGTGGGCTGGGTCAGCCTGCAGGTCTGCTCACTGTGCATGCCCTCCAGCTCTCACAGGCGGCCCACGTGGAGATGCCTCCCAAGCTGCTGCAGAGACATCTGTCTACTGGTGGCAAGAAGGAGCAGATCTGACTACCACTCCACCTGGGGAAAACAGGCATCCAGCCAGCTTCCCCCAGCTCCCTGGAAGGTGATCCATGAACAGTGAGAATGGGGTATCCCTCAGAAGCTCCTGGAGCACTGCCCTTCCTGCTGTCAGTTTTTTCTTTGTTTCTTTCAGATGCATTCAAATTATAAAGCAGAACAACCACTGTGTTTAGAAGCACCTATCAAAAATGTGCAGCAAGGTTTTGATGCCTTCATTAGGCTACGTGTGTTGATTCCAAAGACCAAATGTGAGTCTTTCGAGGACACCCCTTCCATCGAAAGACCACTCATCCCGGCAGGTAAAAACTGCCAGAGCAGGGCTCCTTTATCTACTGGAACCAAGTACAAATGAGGCAAAGTTACCTGGAAAGAATGCCTGCCAATCACAGGAAATGTAGGCACAAAGGACGAGAAAACAGGGTGCTCCAGCCACAGCTCACAGAGAGTAGTCAGAATATGAGCTTGTTCCCAGGCTGCAGGCCACAGAAAGTTAAGTTTTTCTATGCAAAAGCAGATCTGTCTCAGGGCCGTTTCTGTCACATGTGCTAACCGCCAGCCCTGAAAGGAACAGGAGCCGACTCTCACCCTGGCTGTGCCCTTTCTCCAAGCAGGCTCAGAGACCAGCGGCTGGTGACTGTGTTCTGCCCTGGGGCCCAGCCTGTCCTCTGTCCTTCACGGACTATCCCTTCCTAGCAGCAGATTCATGCCAAGGGCGCCTGGGAACTGAGTGTTTGCACTGTGCTATCTGGGGAGAGAAGCTGCCTTAGAAGTGAGGGGAAGCCAGCTCCTTACTGCAAACACTGCAAGCGGACCGACTCTGCCAGCCCCACTCTATTTTCTGACTTCCACAGGGCCGGGACCCAAGAGGCTGGCTGTTGGATGGGTCTGGGATGGGTTGCTCAGCTGCTGTCCCAGGCCTTTGGCCTCCTGACAGCTCCTCTGACAGCTCTCCCCACTCCTCTGCCAAGCTCTTCTCTTCTCCCTGCAGCAAGCTAAAGGCTGTGATCCATCTGGCTTCTGTCCCCAGGAGAGAAGATGGCCTTGACTCGATGGCAGTGGGAGGGAGTCATGGAGAGGGTGTGACATTTCCTGCCTGGACACCACAGCCCCTGGAGCCACTGGACCTGAGGCTCTGCACAGGCAGAAGCTCCACAGTGACCTCCCTCTCCCTCACCTGGCCAGCCTGTCAGGACCTGCCCTAGAGCAGAGGCTCCTACGCTTTAACTTTCTGAAGATCAAGGACATAAAACTAAGATGTTCCATTTTATAACTAGGGAGTGCCTCCCAGAATATCTGTCTGAGGGCCTGTGACACATTCACAGAAGTCTGGTGAGGCTGCTTCCAGCTGCACACCGAGACGGTGCCACAACTCGCTGTGTCCCTGTGTGAAGGGAGCACTTGAGGGGCCTCTGATAAGGACAGGGACCCCCATCCATGCAGCTTCACCCTCCCAATCCCATGGTCTTCCACAGGCCTCATCACCTGGCTCTTCCAACTCCAAGGTGAGCTGTCAACACACGGCCTCTGGGAGGACATAAATATTCAGTCCATCACCACGGCAGGGGGTAAACACAAATGAGTTTCAGCCCCGTGAGACTCAGTACCAGGCCAGAAACACTGATCCAGGCAACCCTGGGATATATCTGTGCTATCTTTAGGGCATCAAAGGGGCAGCAATTTCTTACAGCAGGGGTGCACAGAGCTTTCAAGATGAATCCCAATGCTAACTGCATCCCACTGGTCTGGGAGAAGCATTGGAAGTCATCTTGGAAGCTCTGTCAATATACCTAGCTTTAGACACAGTTTAAAAAAAAAAACTTTTGGAAAACAAATGTATCCTCTGGCTGTGCCAAGAGCCTTGCAGGTAACAAGGCAAGGCAAGGATTTCCTCTCAAGCCTCAACACATGATAGAGCCTCATTTCCTGCCGCCGACTGTCAGGGTTTGAGACTCAGAATGAGGTGGATGCTTAAGAAAAACTGACCAGCATCCCCAGCATCTCCAAGACCAGCTCCTCCTGGCACAGCAGATAAGCTGTCCTGTCTGGGAGAGAAGCAGGTCACAGGGAATTTGGCTAGTCCTGGGACTGCCTGATCTGCCAAGCTACAGTAGCAAAGCAAGGGTCCAATGGTGTTTTTTGGACAGGTTCAGAAGGATCCTCGTACTGTTAGAGGCCCACCTTTGGAAACCCGTGGGACCATTCACACAGTATTTGTTTGATCTCGGTAATCTGATTCACTGTTCTCTCCAAAGCACCTCATTCAGACAGGGCTTCTTCTAGCCCACTTCGTTCAGTAGTTTTTGGAAAGCCATCTCAAAGGCCTTCTTAAGAAAGGCAGGAAACAAGGAAGGTGCCCACTGAGCAGGACATAAAACAGCTCCACTGTGGAGGAGGAAGTCATAGATAATCTTAAAGGGATATGTCTTCATTGGCAGAAAGGACACCCTGCCCCGGCCACCTGGAACATCAGAGGTAGACTGTAACCTTTCAAAGTCAACACGCGAAGCTTTAGAATTATGATTTACTTGGAGACCTTTTCATTGCACAGAAGAGGGAATACATTTAAGGGTGTGGAGAACAAACAAATGAATCCAGGATAAATAAGACTCTCCCAGACTTTAGCACTGTTTAAACATACCTTCACGCCAACCTCTCATTTTATAAAGACATGAATAAGCGATACTCAGAGTCTGGTGGCGAGGAAGTGCTCCATCAATATCAGCTACAATTATGATAATGGAGATCCATCCTGCAGCTCTTATAAGACATGCACAGAGGAGTTTCATATTGCTCAAGCTGGTCATGGCACTGTGACCAGTACCTTACAGCACCATGACTCCTCTGCGAAGTGTCTCTCCCGAAGCTGAGACATTAATAAACCGCTGATTAGTGACACCTGCCTCTTCTTGTTTGCGTCTCCATGAGCTTCATCAAGCATGGACACGAAACAGCCTGTGTGTAGTAGAGGCTAATACGGGAAACCTCGAGTAATAGTGTCCTAGGTTGCTTTCTATTACTGTAACAAAAGACACAGGGCTGGGTGACCCATACTGAAAGAGGTGAGATAGCTCAGAGTTTTGGGGGTGACTTAGTTACTTTCCTCTCACTGCTGACAGAAAATACTCAACACCCCAAATGAAAGACGGAAAGGGTTATTTATTTAGCTCACAGTTTGTGGAGGTTTTGGTCCAAAATCAGCTGGCTTCAAGTCAGACAGGCATGGCTCAGGGGGAAACACTTCAAGGCACAGATAACAGCAAAATCAGCCAGAGCAAAAGGTGGGGAGAGCCAGCCTCTTCTCCTCCCTTACACTATAAGCAGGCTACCACCCCTAGGGTGGGTGTAGTGCTCACACCATCTCCCTGCCCACTCTTGCACAGGCTGAAGATGTTTACAAAGTAAAGAACCTGGCTCCCTGCTGAGTCCCTTCCCTTAAACTTCTAAGCTTCTCAAGTTGACACAACCTATCAACTGTGACAGGGGCTGTAAAGTCCAAACATTTCCTACAAATGACCACCTGGTAAGCTTCTTTTGCTTTTAGGCAGAGTGGTGCTCCACCCCTTGTTTTCTTTATCCACTCATCTGGGGACAGACAAACATCAGTTTCCTGATTGGCAATAGAAGCGCTGGCTCCTTGGTAGCAGGAAGTCTGCGTCCACTGTGGCTGACCTGAGGGCCATGCCCCCCTGGCCAGTCAGTGCTGTGAGGCCCACAGCCTTATGTTTGGCCTTTCTTGCTCTTCCACCAAGGGGGCTGAGGGAGCCCACTGCACCCTGTCCCATCCCGAAAGCACGATGCGCCAAGCCACAGGGCCCTGCTGGGGTTGGCTAAGAGTGGCCGCCTGCTGCCCAGCAGCATCAGATGCCCCCGTTCACCCTGCAAACCCCCCAATGCACCTGGGCCAAACTCACTGCTTACCCCCACTGTTTCAGCCCAGCTGAGAGCTCAAGCCAAACACCTTCCTCCCTCTGCAAGTCAGAAATGCTGGCATAAAGCCAGTGCTGGGAATCTCCAAGTACCAGGAGCACACAGGCAGGAGGCACTGGAGCTCACAGGTCCCTCAGTCAGTGACAGAGAAGGCAGCTTTCTCCACTGTGAATTACTGCCAGCTCTTTGCTCAGTGAGGGGCTGGAGGCTTAGAGGATTCACCACAATGCAAGCAGGGCGCAGCAGGTATTATCCTTAGTTAACAGTGAAGCAGAGCTTGCAAGGTTGCGCAGCTGCAGTACAGAATCGTGGATGCAGGAGCGAGGTGGTGGGTAGCAGCCTGGCAGGGTAGTGCGGAGTGAGCCGGGAGCCCAGCTTCACGGGGCGGTCACATCACCCAACAGCCGCACTCAGCATGCTGACCCTACTGGCAGCAGAGCTCCAGGTCTGCCACCAGGACAGCTGTGGCGTGTTTAGGCCGTAGTGACTGGGCTCTTCAGAAAGTATTTCTGGAGGAAATTTTGGAGGCCCCGAGTGACAGTTTGGGAGGATGTAATAAATACAGGTGGCGACTGTCATCTTTGGGTTCTGGACATCAGGGAGTGGCTGTTAAGTAAGACAGGTGACAGAAGCATTAGCAGACAGATTCAGCCAGCATGTCCTTGCTGGGGGGACATGATTTCCAAAGACTCAGGCTTTGGCATCGGTAACTATCAACCTTACACACACACACAGGCACATGTACATCATGCATGCAGAACACAGCCACTTGCATGCTTCAAAGCAGGCGCATGTTTCTGTAGCCTGGAGGGGAGGTGACAGATGTTAAAGCCTACAGTCAGCTTGCTGTCACCACCACCATCACCATCACTGCCACCACCACTTTCGGTTATGCTCTGACTCTACCTAAGTAAGTCAGGGCTCCAGGGGTATCATACATCTCTCAGGGCAACACTGGCAGAATCTCTGACCTCTAGGAGGAAGCAGACAGCAGAACTGGCGAACTCAGCTGTGTTCAAGCAGCACCCTTGGTTCTGCATGTCCCAGGCTCAAGCCAAGTGCACAGCTTGAGGGCTTCCAGAAGAGGATCCTCTGCAACCTGCCTCTCCCACTTCAACCAGCAGGGTACACTCTGGGGTGGGGCGGCTGCCACAGCCATGGTAAGGGGGACCCTGCCAGCTCTACAGGCTACAAGAGGCCACCTGCCTGGCTGTGCTACCCCCTAACCCTACTGGGTGTCTCAGGCAAATGGGCTCTCCCTTCTGTGTCTCTGAGGCATCATCCACATGGCAGGGACACCTACATTTCTGCAGCACAGTGCCTGCCAGCCAGCAGAGCCTGCAGCTGACCTTCAGGTCGCCCTGGCTGTGGAATGCTGATGGCAGCATGCAAGGGCCAGCGCTGAATCTAGTGTCCCTGCTCTGTCTGCTGCCCGCTGGCTCTGGGAACTGGATGAGGCACAGCGGTACTTTCATTTTCCTTTGTGCTTGGGGAGGGAGACTAATGACCTCCAGTAGTCTTTAACCAGGGGAAAAGGAAAACAAAAGCCACACCCCTTCCCTCCTGTGGAATTCCTGATGCAGGGGCTGGCCTGAGGGAACTTGGGAGGGAGGAACTGGGAGGGAGGCACTTATGTGTGCAGCTGGGAGCTGGTGCACTGCATGGCTCAGGGCTTGAGGGAGGAGGGAAGGGGGGAGGGAAGGAGGGAAGGAGGGAGAGAGGAAGCAGCCAGGATGGCTCATTCTGCCCAGGCCAGGCCAGGCAGTGTATGGGGCTGTGGACACAGCCCTGCTGCACAGGGATCGCCTCCTGCCTCGGCATGATGGAGGTTGAAGGACGCCTGTCCCCCTTGTTCCTGCCTTCCCAGCCGGGAGCTCCTGAAAGTGATGGAATTTCCCGAGTGAGGACCAAGCCCTTCCTGGTGAGATCTGAATCTTCCATGTTAAGGAGCTGGCCCTTGTGGTGCCCCAAGGTCATGCCAGGGTGGCGTCTGCACGTCACAGAGACTGGGATTGTCGCCAGCAGGCTTTGGTTGTGTGAACTCCAATGCAGGAACAGGACTGGAGCTGGTTAGTGACACCCTCTCACACACCTTGATCATGAGGCCCCCACATAAAAACACTTCAGGGTGGCCAGTGGGGGCCCTGAGGCCAGAGGGCACATGGGGTGAGGAAGAGACCATGGAGGAACTCAGTGCCCACTGCCACGCCTGGTATGGGCATCTGTTCAATCGGGTGGGTCCTGGGTTCTTTCCTCCACAGCAAACCAGCACATGCAACTCTGTACTGGAGTTACCCTGTCTGTCAGGAGTCGCTGAGAGGGACTCTCAAGGGTGCATGCAAGTACTGCAGCATCTGCTGCCCAGGGCGCCCGTGGCCCTGAGTGTTTCAGATAAGAAAGCCCAGGAAGGCCACTGGACTCTGGGACCACAGTGGGATCGATTGAGAACACCCCAGGTGTTCAGCTTTATTTAGAAGGCAAATGCTGGGATCTGAGTCTGGGGCTGAGACCTTCCCCATGTCTCCTGGGAGCGTGTCTCAGGCTGTGAAGAGTCAGTCTGCACCTGCACAAGTGCCTGCACCTGGCCTGCATCAGCACCTGCACCTTCCCTGAGCCTGAACCTGCACCTAGCCTGCACCTGGCCTGCCACTGCACCAAGGAGCAAGCACCACCACTCTACAGCCACAGGGGCCAGGGAATGAGGATTCCCACTGAGCAATGCCTAGGGAGCCACAGTGGCAGACCTCAAGAAGAAGCCTCGCGCGTGTCTCTAGGTGGCCTGCCCAGTCCAGTGGCGGCTGGGCAGGGGGCTGTGGGCACCGCAGGCCACAACCACAAGCTGCTACCTTCCCAGAGTCGCTGCAGCACAGAAACTCACAGGGGCTGGAAACCCACATAAGCAGACACTGCGGCCACCATGATCTCTGTATAAGTGACTGCGGAGGGAGGAAGTAAGCTCCCGGGGATTTGCGTGTGCACTGCAGGAACAGCCCTGGCCACAGGTGTCCCAAGCGGCCCCTTCAGGAAGTCTGAGGCGCATCCTTCCGATCCCTGGGTACCCTTGACAGACCCGCGCTTTGGCGCACCCGCCGCGCAATGCCGGACGCTGCTTGCCCACGCCCAACTCGCCTGCTCCAAGGGCAGCAGGTGAGAGAAACGCCTGGCACAGGCCAAGAAGATGTCGGGGGGCCGGCTTCCCGCTCTTCCCCTTGGGATCGTCCCCCAGCACGATGTGGCTGAACAAGCTGAAGAACTTCTTGTGTCGGTTGGTCTTCATCTCGAAGGGCGCACGCCCCGAGCTGGTGGCCACGGCGAAGGGGACTTCGTGCTTCCGCAAGTGGTGGATGAGCCTCTCCACACCTGGGAAGGCAGAGGGGGCCTTCAGTGTGCTGGGGGCAGTGTGGCGGGAGGGGTGCTGGCGAGGCTCAGTGCCGTAGCTGGGATGTGTGTATGTGGGGTCACTGCAAGCCTGTGTCATCTGCCCCCGGCATGGTGTGTCAGGAGGCCATGGGCTTCAGGAGGCATCCTCCCGGAGCAAAGGAGGTCTGGGGTAACAGCTGAGCCTGGAGGAGGACACCAGGAAACCAGGGTCCTCCTCCCTGTCACTGTCTCTCTCCCTGCTTCCTGCTCATATGGGAGCACACCTCTGTGTGCGGGAACACACCAGGAAGCCAGCATGCCTGTCAGCCCTCCTCCCACTCCTCTTCCTTCATTTCCTTCCTCCCTCCCATTGCTATCATTTCCTCCCTTTCTTCCTCCCTCCCTCCCTCCCTCTCTTCTTTCCTTCCCTCCAACTAGAATAGAGTAACATTTGAGATCAATAATGGGAAAGCTACAACTATCTGGATATTAAACGACACGTTTCTAGGAAGACACGGGTGAAAGAGGAAACCACAAAAGGTCATTAGATAATTCTGTGTAGAGAACAGGAACGCCTTAGCATCTATGGGGTGCAACTAAAGTGGAAGAAGCTGACAGTATTTAATGCTTGAGTAGAGAAGATGGCCTCAACTCGGTGGTCTAGCTAGTCACATTTAAAAAACATAAACTGTAAGACCAGTGATGGGCTATTCTTTCTCCTTAGAAGTCACACAGAAAGAGCAAATCAAATAAAGAAGGGAATAAAAACAGAAGAAACAACAAGAAAAAAGAGAAAACAATACAGAAAGTCGATTAAGCTAAAAGCTGGTTCTTTGAAACGATCAGGTAAATATTGGACCTGTAGCTCGACTGACCAAGAAGAAAAAGAAAAATCTAAATTTATCAATATAAAGAATGAAATGGAGCAACACTACTGATCCTAAAGTCATTAAAAAGGAAAAAAAAGTTATGAATGATTCAATATCAATTTATGTGACAACTTAGATGAAACAGATTAGTTCTTTAAAAGACAGGGAACTCAGGACACTAATAAGCTGAATGGGCCCCTAGGTAGCATGTGTAATTTACAAATCTTCCTCTATCTAAGGTCAGAGAGTCTCCGATGACTTTCCCATACACTCAAGAAATAAGTAACAGGAATTCTAACAAAATCTCAGGAAACTGGAAGGGACATTTGCTAAGTCTTCTTTTGGTATCAAGATTGCACTTCTCAGGTAGCAAAACCAGCCAAAATCCCGAGACCTCCCAAGGCATATAATTCATGAGTACGTGTACCTCCTCACATCAGCAGTTCTCAACCTGTGCAAACATATGTGTACTATGTGGAGCTTGTATGTGTGAGTTAAAAAGATTTCCATGCCTCATCATTGCATAGCTTGCAACAACTACTTCTGAAGATCAGGGTGTATTAAAAAGTATTGGCAAACTTTCAAAATAAACTTGACCTAACCAGCGTGGAGACAGCAAGAACCACTATGGAAAAGAGACTAGTGGCAGGGAGAGATGCCCAGTAGCAAAATGATTTGCACTTGCAGGGGATTTTAAAGCTAGTAGTCACATCTGCCTTTCAAAAGGCAGGACACTCTGAAAAACACCCTCCTGCTGTGGTCTGCCAGACCCGAATATTCATGCTGTGAGGGAGTTTCACTTCCTTAGGGTCACAGAGGAACTCTGCAGGGTCCCGGGACTCACAGGCCTCCTCCTAGCTGTCTCCAGCCTTGCTGCAGGCTTAGGACCCGGCTGCTTCCTGTTTGTCTGTTGTTTTGTGCAGAGGTGCATTGCAGTGTTCTCTCCCTATCCCTCTGCAGGGCAATCCTTAGCTCAGGAGCGGACCCTCTGACTCAGGCAGCAAATGCTGCTCTGAGAGGGACCTTTAAAATGGAAGGCACAGCATGGAGTTAAAACACGCCTGTCTGTCTGCTCCTTAGAAGGGATGCTGGTGACCGAGGTGGACACCCTGCTCCGGGAGTGCTGCTGGGAACTTCAGAAAGGATGCCACACTGGTCCCTGTCTCCCAGCCCAGCTACATCACACAGGGAAAGAGAGGGATTTGAGCAGTGGGGCCCAGGCAGAGAAACAGTGTGAATGGGCAGATCTGTAGTTGGAGCCATTTACAAAGAAGAGGGGAAAGCTAAAGGGTAGGTCCAACAGGTGGCCAGGATTCCACACCACAGACACTGGACAACTTCCCCTTAGAAAGGGACCAGCCCTGGAGGGCAGCGATCCACAGCGTGCTCCTTGACAAGGATTTGAACTCATGTCTTTCAAAGTCTGCATGCTTAGGCACTAAGCAACAGATGTCCCTGCCCAGGCTGTCTCAGGTGCTCTTGGCACAGGGGCAACTCCAGCTGCCAGCTGCGCCCCTGGACCTGCTGGGGAAGGGGCTGGACAGCCATGAGTCCAAAATGGGCACTGCTGTAACGCTGTGCTCCCCGCCCCACCCTGAGAACCTGGCTCCCCCTCTCTATTCTCAGTTCCCCCTGCAGAGGCACAGGCTTCCCTGCTAACTCACAGGGCTCACCTCTCCTCTCCTGCAGGCCTGAGTCACTGATGAAAACCCACGCTGACCACTTCCGCTGGAAACCGTCAAGACTGGACGTCTCCATGCACACGGAGCTCAGCTCGCAACACACAGCTTCTAAAATGGTTACAGTTCATTGGTTTATATACTGCAGAGTTCAGGAAATATGTGGGGTTGGGGATTTAGCTCAGGGGCATAAGCGCCTGCCTTGCAAGCAGGTGGCGGTCATGAGTTCGATCCCTGGTGCCGATAAAAAAAAAGTGTAAAAAAAAAAAAAAAAGAGAATTCAAGAAATGCGAATAAGCATAGATTTTTCATTTTTGTAAGTTTTATGCATTTATCCTTTAAGATGGAGCCATCCTGTAAAAACCCACCAAGTAGCATAAGCACCTAGTGAAGAGTTCCGGATGGCTTTGGCCCCTGTGACCTGCCGGGTTTCTTAAAGGTTTAATTCTCAATCTGGCTAGTCCCTGCTGCTGAGACTCCACCTGTGTCTTAGCACAGCTGGTTTGGGCAGGGCTCCTCCCTCCTTTGTCTGGGCATGTGTGTGAATTCTGAGCTCCTCTGGAAAGGTGTCTGAGGTGCCTGGCTACTGGGGCAGGCTCTTGACCATGGTGATCAGATGCTCCGGAATAATGTACCAGGGGCCCCTAACAGTGGAACCCAGTCACTGAACTGCATCATGGAGCCACACAGTGCCCCGCAGTGGGGGAGAAATGAGGGAGAGAGGGATTGGGCTGGGGGCAGAGGCCTGAGACCCCAGCAAGACCGGAAGCTCCCGTATGTTCCAGGGAACTCACACCTGTGGCTGATGCTGGCACCCAGCTCAGGGCAGTATGATATTTGGGGGTGTCACAGGTCACTTTCTTGTGGCTCAGCCACAATATCTGACACCCATGACTTAAATGGGGCAGGGTTTATTTTGGCTCCCAGCTGAGTTCCAGGCTGGCAGACGGCAGAAGGAAAGTACAGAGGGAGGGTCTAGGGGAAGGTTGTTGCTCACTACCTGGTGGCCAGGAAGTAGGGAGGAGGGTGGCGGGAGGGAGCGGCACTCCTCCCAGTCATGCTCCAGTACATGTCCGGGTGGAGGCAGGACAGCTGGGGTGGGACATACTCTGATGACCGCAGTGGCTTTAGGCTGAACCTGGAATATGCAGAGGGTTGGCTCACCCGCCCCAGGTGCTTCTGGAAAGTTAGAAGGTGGGACCTTGCACAAGGAAGTCAGGTCACTGGGTTTTGACCCTGAAGGTGACCCTGGGTCTTAAATCCAATGAGTTACCTCTTTGTAGGAGACAAGGGGTCTGGTGGGGTGGGGAAACACACAGGGAAGTGAGGTCTGTGAAGGGGGTGCAGAGGTGAGGAGAAGGGAGCACAAAGCCCAGCAGCTCCAGGGATGCAGGCGGCCACCAGGAACGGCCAGGTGAGAGCCCCGTTCTGCCTTCTCCTCCAGCTCTGAGGTACCCTGCTGCTGCAGGCTCACAGGAAAGGAGGCCTCCGGAGTGCAACCCCAGCTCCGTTCTCCTTTCACATCCTATCGGGGCATGGCGGAGCCAAAGGGTTCCAGGAGACGGATCTGTTTTTAAAAGCAGGCCCAAGCTGTCCTCAGAGCCCGGCAGCTCAACCAGGGAACGTGCTGGCTGCCCCAGGACGGCCGGACAGCGGGTGGGTGGTGATGGCGAGCATGAGAATGAACCAGTGTCCCACAAGTGAGGTGACCTCAGAGGGCACTGTTTCTCCTGGTCGCACAGTGTGTACATCTGCTTCCGTCCTTGACAAACCCTAAGCACTGACAGAAGCCAGTAGGCAGAAGGTAAACACAGAGGGGTTCCTTTGCCATCTGCAAAACACAGTCCAGAGACAGTCCGGTTTGTGAGCATCTGGTCGGCTGGTCCCTGGCAGCCCCAGGACCCAGCTCCAAGTTCTCCCCACAGAGTAAGCTGCTGCTTCTGGAACAGCTGGCTTGGCCTCACCACACGCTCTGGCACCTGCCTGGATAATCTCAATCTCCACCAAGACCACAGGGGCTGCAGCAGTGATTTCCGTCCACCTTCACCCCCACAAGTGATAGCCGAATAAAATAAGTGTAGGACGGGGGCAGCCATGGAAAGGGATTTCTCATCTCTCCCACTCCTTTCCTCAACAGGAGGATTGTTTGCTAGTTGTGGTGGTCTAGAACCCCAGTCCTCAGGAGAGCAGCCTGGGCAGCCATGGAGTTCAACACTAACCTGATCATGTAGTTTGTTTTTGTCTCAAAAAGCAAAACAAAACACCCAAAAAAAGGAATCTGAGGCAAGTGTGCTCCTTCCAAGTGTCTTCATGCTATAGCTGCCCCTAAACTTCTTTCTGCAGCAGATTTGCCTCTGGGAACAATGTAAACAAATTCGCCTCTGGACTCTACTACGGTTCACTGATCTTCATCTTTCTTTTTTGTATAGTGACTGTGCTAAGAATGCAAACAAAAC